TTTTTAAAAATAACAGGGAGCGGGAGGAGGAGCAGGAGGTTCAGGAACATCCACACAAAACGCTGATTTTGTAAGTGTAGGTGTCTGGATTGATTTTTGTTGACTCAGATTAATTCCATCTCCTGGCTTAGGTTCAAAACCAAATATCAAGAAAGGTTCAGCAATTTCCAGCAGATGAAGGTCATATGGTGAAGGTGACCTTGTTCCAGATGATCTCTCCTTTGTGATATCTCTATCAAAACTGAAATCTGATTTGAGACTGCAAATACTACTTTCAAGTTCAGAAACATTTACAGAGCCCTGCACCATGTTTTTTGGTGAGAAGGTCTTTTGACTAACAGGAACTTCTTCAAGTTGAAATTGGGAACTTTCAGGTTCCCCTTTCTCACCTAGAAAATCAGTTGGATAAATATCATCTACTGTTGGGGAACATGCCTGTTTAGTAAAATTACAAGGAAACAAAATAACTGCAGAATTAGTAAGATACTTTTGTTTTTAATCAAAACAGTATCTCTCCTTATATTGTATGCAGTATCATTATACTGTCATTCATATGTTCAAAATGAAAGCAATGTATCAGTTAAATATTTCTTACCCTATTCTATGTTATACTGGGCAAATCCAGAGGAAAATTTGACTGTGACAGAATATGAGCAGAGAGGCATTTTACATTATTAAGATAGAAATGATTAATGTAATGATGATTATGAGCCAAGGAAGTTCCACTGCACAGTATTGTTGTACACACACAGAAGATAAATCTACACAAAGCGAAGCGTGTATCCAGCTGGTGCTGCAATTCTGGCACATGTACCAGCTGAGGTTCAGTAGCTGCCACATACAAGGTAGTGAGCCTGGGCTATACTGCCACCATACACCAATGCAGATGTTTGGTATTCTTCTGCCTAGGAATTCTTGGGCCAAAATACCAGGAAAATGGCTTTATGTGAGTTGACCTAAGTTACAGAAGGCACACCCAGATACCATTCTAAATAGCTTGCAATCTTAACACATTACAGACTACAGGCTGAGATGATGCTCCCAAGTTGTATTAAAGTTCCATTTTAAATACAGCAGAACTGCCAATGCAGAGGCACAGTTACAATGAAATTAATTTACTTTTATTTTAATTTTATGTGTCCAACTATGTATGCATTCAATACTAGATGGCATCTCAGTAGATATATCTATAGAAAATCCACTAAATAAAAAGAGAAGAAAAAAAACCCAAACCTGAATGGCACTCCCAGGAAGACGAAGTTTAACCTGCATGCCATGATATCTCCATGAGAAGGAGCTATGTTTCCTGTTCTTTTTAACTCTTTGGATGAAAAAGGAGAATACTGAACTAGTTAGACAAGTTTCTGTCCTGAGGGTACTCAAAGGATAACCATGATGATTCACTACTGGTATTCATAGTTCTCATAGAAGGGATCAAGAGGTCATCTGACATGATCTCTGTAACACATTACATAACACTTTAGCCAATTGTCTCTTCATTTAATCTAATGTTTTATTTTCTAAAGCAAAATTTCACAACAGACAGCCAAACTGGAATTCAGAGAAGGCAAGTCCATAATCTTGCCTGGCTAACTGTCCCAAACCTCACAGCTAAAACTGCATGTCTTTTTTTCTTAGTCTGCTTTAATTTCCAGTCTTTGCTTCTTAGTTTCTTTCTGTAATATTAAAAACCAATTTGATAGCTGCAATAATACAAGATACATAAAAGACACAAGGTACCATACAATGTCATGGAATTCCCTCCCAGTTCACATACTGAGGTCTATGTGTGTGGCCTTGAGGCTGTTTGTTGTTGTTGATGTTGTTGCATTTTTGGTTTTTTATGTTTTGGTTTGCTTTTTATTCTTTTAAGGTCTTCAGACTGGCATTTTGCCAATTTCAGTCAGTTTTGCCTGAAAAAGTAAAAGAATCTCTCTTCACTACTTCTTGGTTCATATATTTTGAGATGGTATTAACTATTTTTGCCACAATATCACAATGGTTGTTCATTCCACGTTGTTGACTCACTGGGTGAGTAATAAACCCTGGGTTATTGATAGTCACTGTTTTCCAGTATATAATCTCCAAGGATGTATATACGTAGGGTGGCAATCATTTCATCTACATGTAGCCTTACATTTGTCAGTCTTACAGCATTTTTGTTACATGGGTCCATTTTAACAAATATTCTTGACTATTCTGAGTCCTAACCTCAATTATTATTAATGTACCATGAATCTGTGTATCCTCTGCATATCATATGAGCAATTATTTTCTATTTACAGCCACATCTCCATTATCCTTGAGATACTTGTGGATAAAACACGCAGTCCGTGTGTACAGCTCTAGAGTATCTGCAGACAGAACCAGCCTGCAGCCAGAAAAATGTACTATGTTATTAATATAATATTAGTAAGTTTGCAGCTAACCTGGATGTCTTTGTCGTGCTTCTTCTAGAACCTGAAGCTGGAAAGAATAAGAGAGATACCCGATCTCCATCCTCAGACAACAACTATTCTTAAGTATTTCCCAACTTTTATTCAGATTTTCTAGTTGAATTTTCCCTTAACATTAAAAATTAAATTGTATTATCATTTTAAATCTCTTTTCTACAACTGGATGTGTAGTGTATGAACTTATTCATTTATTCCTGATACATGGTAGAAATAGCACCAAATCTTTAGTTGATCAGTACAGTATTTCTACTATCCAGTAGTAATTGTCCTGAATAAGAGCACCAATAGGAAACACTATTTCAAGATTAAATATAACAGTAGAATATTACAACAGATGTGGTTTTGTGCCTGCTTTGCAGACAGAACAAAGAAACTAGGACATGCTCATAAAAATCACTTTTCATGGTTTATAATATAGAAATATGAATAGCATGAAGGTTTGACACATTTACTGCTACTACTACCACCTGCATTGTTTATTATTCTGGTTGAGAATGGCAATATGCAGAAATGTTACTGGGAATAAAATTATAATATTCAGTGTGTGGGCCAGCACAGGCAGGACACAGGAACAACCACAAAACCACAGATAAGATGCAAAGAGTAAATTTATTCTCATTACCTTGTGACCTGAGGGATCTCTGCAGCAACACTCGGGCAGGGGCACGTGAGTGGGGACATGGGCACGTTGGAGCTTGGTCCTTGCTAGTCAGGAAAAGGAGAAGACAAAAGCTCTTGGGCTTGTTGCTTTTGCCTCTATATATCTGGGATTTCTGCAGCTGTACTTTCCCACTGTGCTTTGATCTTCCCCACAGCAGGGCAGGAATCTCAAGGACGCTCGATAAGGTGCCTCTGAGTCTCTCACAGACCTGTGTTATCTAAGCACAGACATTCTATGTGTCAAGCAGACAGAGCTGAACAATTAGTGTGATATATGCATTTTTTAGCACCCCAGCTGCAAGTCACTTGAGTGTGTTGACAATCCTTCTCACCAATCTTCTGTTGTATTCCCAGACTCAGTTTCCAAGAAGCCTTACCTTACCAGCAACATCACTATTTCAGATAATTGTAAATTTTTTATTTAAAATGCAAATGCAAAGAAAGGCTAAAATATTAAATGCAGTGATACTGAAAAAAACCCGAAGATCATGGTCTTATTAAGTTTTGCGACTTGGAAATTTATATATAATCCTTAAAAACAGAAATGTTTCTGAAACAAAAGGTACTACTTAGTGAAGAAAAAGAGTGTAATAATTAAAAGTTATTCCCCTATGATATTACCTAAGGCTAACAACAGATTAGAGTGAAAAGTGAAATTAAACTAGTTCCTTGATAATGCCGTTTATCATCAAATATTCCATATAAATAGAAAAACATTAAATTTAAATGTTTTAATGTAATCATATAAGGCACCAATAAATTAAAGCAGATAACAATATCAATGAAAGCAACTTACTTTTTCTGTGGTTTGGTTTTACTTGTTTAACACAAATCCTTTTTATTTTATCCTACAAAGAAAAAAAAAATTAACTGCACCAGTTATGAAATATTTGTATGTCATTCCTGACACTTTTATCACCCTGGAGCTCCTTTCTCTTATTATATCACTAAGTTTGGATTGCATGGCACCCTCTTTACTTCATTTAATCACAGAGCTTTGTTATATAAGCATCATAGGAGCTAAAATTCAGGTGAATTTGTGTATGTTTCTCTCCCAAGGATACAGTGAACTTCAGACGTCAGTATAATGCAGCTCTGAAGCAGAAGGCATGACTGTTGAATAGTTGGATGTATAATACAGCTATATGATCTCACAGGGACTAGGACCCACACGGACCATCTCTGGCTTTGTGCCAGCATTTAAACACAGAGATGACCTCCCGTCCCACCTGGAGAATTCAGAAGCCACTAAGGGCATCCAAAGAAATGGATGGGCAACCTTGTCCCTGAGCTGAAGGATAAAAGCAGAGTGTTAGCAAACGCTCAGCTGCTGTTTCATGATGGAGATATTACAGTCTTTTCAAGCCAAAGGATGAAGAGCAGCAGAGAAACAACAGATAATTCAAAATACGAAATCTAACATGTGCCAACTCAGGTCAACTTTCTAAGTCCTGCAGGAGCAAATATATCCTGAGATAGTTAAAGGCTTTCTACCAGTCACAGCATTCCTAAGTTTGTGTTCACATTGTTTTATGAAAAGAATGGTTTCAAACAATTATCTTCTAACAAAAGAGAAGAGATGAAAAGGAAAACAATTATAAACTCACTGAAGTGTAGCTACAATCCCCTAGGCACAGAACTTTTGCTTCAAAATAAGATGCTATTTTAAGATTGCATTTTAACAAACCTGCGTTTTTTCATGTAATGCTTTGTCCTGTTGCCATGGTGACCCAGAAGCAGGCATATGAAAGGTGATACAACCATGCTGAATACTCAGTTCAGTGATATAGTTGTAGAATTTGGAGATGTTTACCACATTCAGAAAATTAGATACTAAAATAAATCATTAAGGACAGAAAAGTGTAAACACGCAAGTTCTACATGCCTTTTGCAATTTTGTAGAAGCTAAAGATTCCGCTTCTGGTGGAAAGCTTTCCCTGAGCAAGAAATCCTGGCTCTTCAAGTCTGCAATAGAAGTCTCATACTTTTATTTCTTCAGCATTATTAGTTAGGAATTGTTTATTATTCTGTAAATTGAAAAAGTAAAGTTAGTCAAAGAAACTATACAGAGACTTAAAGAATCAATTTTACCAGACACTGCTCTAACAGCTGACAACCCACATTTAACTTCTGGGTCATGATTTAACAGGCTTCCAGCAAGGCAGTCCTTTCATGAGGGTTCCTGGGACACAAAGAACAAGCACAGGGCCCCATATACAAACCTTACAGTGACAAGCTAAGTTCATCTAAATGTGTGCTGTAGTAACTTGTTTATCAATTGAACTATTCAAAATTCATCCCTGATACAGCATCTTTGACCTGAATCTATTGTTTTTACAATGAGACAGGCTGCAAGTGCTATACCAGAGTGCATACATAACTTGTATGTTGAGAAGTACACTTAGGCTGCCCTCAAGAGAAGGTTTCCTGTCTCTCAACAGTATGTCCAGAATATCACTTGCTATAGCATTTCAACATGTCTTTATACAGCTCAGATATTGCCAGGAAAATGTATGTGAGTATCAGCTAGGTACATCCAAGGCCATGCTGTGTTGCTGCCAAGTCCTGAACAGTTCTTTTGAGCAAGCTGTAAGCAAACACACAGAGTAGAGGAGCCAACTATAAATCAAAATTTTTAAAATAAAACTTAACAGAATGACCTCCTATTATCTGTATCTAAGGATCAGAATGCAAAGAAGTATGAAAAGCATCTGAAGCTCTCTGAGATAGGTACATTCAATGTGCATAACGTAACAAACAGGTAATGTCAAAGAGTGATTCATACCTTTGGTCCTCTGATGCACTGAAGTGTGCATATAGTCAAAATGGAAACTTGTAATGCTCTTGGGAACACTGTAATTCAGTAACTACAAGATCTTTGCTTTCCTTGCAGTTAACCTAAACAGAGAGATAGCATGCCCTGACCCCCAATTTATTGCTGAAGTATGTTTCATTCACATGATATTGCACCAAGTACTTCCTCTTGCCCCACTTACTTTTTCACCCCATTTAGAACTACACACTATGACTGGCTAAGAAAAAAAAAGGAGAATTATTAATTATTTGTATCACAGTAATAAGCAGAAGCTCCCCTCAGGGCTTCATTGTGCTATCTACTGTACATTTCCGTAACTGCTGTGTTTTGAAAGATTTTTAATAAAAAAGTTTAAAATTTAAATTAGATTTAACACATAATAGCCATGGTAACATATATTTTGTCAGAAGCCAACATATTATTCTACTGCAATACTTTGGTGAGAACACTACAGTGATAATAGAAAAGTTTTCTTAGGGTAGAATTAGTCTGCACTGAAAGACAGAAAGCATTGAAGTATTTTTCAGTGCTCCTCTTTACATTGCAGTACATGATAACACAGAAGAGTTACTGTTGATGTGTATACAACTGTAAAGCTTTTATTTATTGATTCTCCTACATTCTCTGACAATAACAGAAATGCTTAGTTTTTCAAGGACACTGTATTTTGCAACTTCAAAATCTTGAGGGAAAAAAGAGGAGTATCTTGATAATTTTCACTGTAAAATCTGGAATGGAATCAGAGTAATTAAAATCACATATGGTACTGTAACAGGCTGCAATATCATGCTAAAGTAAGAACTAATATAAGAAGATAAATCTATTTTCAGCAGCAAAATAACAAAAAGTTTTGAGAAATTAAATCCCATCCAGAAAAGCTGCCGCCCTAACAAGCCAAGATGTCTAGTGTGAACCTGAAGACCAGATTTCAGTCTTCATTCTTTACATAACTTACAGAGGCAACACAATAAAAGTATTTTCATTGCCTGGTTAAGTGTTTATTTTTTAATAGCTTGGTCAGCAACTACCTGTGCTGTCTGTGGCTAATTCCTCCCTTATTCCTGACCTTCACATTAGGACATATATGTGTAGTCATATCCTTCAGCATCAGGACTTTTAGATCAAGTGTAACTTCTAGTACTTTCCCACAGAGTAACTAAATATCTACCCTATGACTGAAGAGCAGTCTCTGAAAGTGAAAGCTATATTTTGTTAATAGATTTAGGAGTGTTGGAGCTGGTTTTGTTCCTTTACATCAATAATTAGAAACAGTTATGACAACACTGCTTCCCTATCAGCAAAGACTGGTCACAGTTATCTTGATTTTCAGATCTCCCAAGAATTTTCACAGGAGAAAGGGAAGCTCAGCACTTTTAAAAACAATGAATCAGGCTGGATTGCAAAAACCCCGGTGAACTAAGAAAACAAAAAAATTGTGATGATAAACAGAGCTCCAGTCAGAAAAACATAAAACTTGGGCCATACTAGTGCCAGCTGAGTTGGAAGAAACTTTGCATGTACTAGGGAGCTGGGCTGTAGTTGTACAGAGATGGAAAAATGTAAAATCAATATCCACAGACAGATCCAAATGTTAAAAAAAAAATCCATCAAATCCATATACACAGAATACAGAAAATGAAGAAAGAATAATTTTATCTTCTACTATTATTAAGATAATGAGAGTCATCTCCAGAAGTCATTGAAACAGACTGGGAAGTGGGATATTTTTCGTTTTGTGTTTTTTTTTTTTTTTTTTTTTTTTTTTTTCCAATTTACAGAAATATCAACATAGGTGTATCAAAATATATCTTTAATTTTATTGTATTTTATTTTACCTAAGAGTACCTACCTTGGACTCAATTCTTCTATCGCTGTCTTTGATAATAACAGTAAGGTTGGAATAATTGTTTTCATTTTTCTTTGTGGCATTTTTGCTTTCAGCAGATGACAGGTCTTCCACATCTGCAATTAAAACATTTATTTACTTGGTAAATAAATATCTGGCTTCTCTAATTTAACTTATGAATAGTTAATAAAAACACCACTACTTAATATGCATAAATACTTTGCATGTTGAAACAAGTTAACAGCTACTAAGGTCACATTTTACTCAGTCATGTAACTGGCAGGATAGGAGTCAAGTATTGAAGGGCAACTGCCCCAAGTGCTTCCCTGCCAGAATTAGTACTGCCCCGGGCTATGCCAGCGCTTATTCCCTCCATACACTTCGCCACCCTGACTTCTGTGACAGGGAGGGGAAAAAGAATTAGGGCACGTAGTCAAGAGCTACACTGTGCCACCTGACCATGGAGCCTGAGAACTATTCCTCCATGACTCACGTTGGTTTTGGGGGTTTTCGGTTGGTTGGTTTACCCTCCCCTTCCCCCCCCCTTTTTTTTTTAAAAGTTGTATAGATATAGTGTATGAATGTGGTTTTACTTTTAGCTTAAAATTAGTTAGGATTGCTACTGAATGGATCTACTCAGCTTCAGTCATTCATGCCCACGGCCTCTGCTGTGTAAAACCAGAATTGTGTAACAGACTCAATTACACAGCAAACGTACAAATGCGCATTGGTCCTGATTCTTACTCTTATATATTGTAGCGGCCAGAATAACGAGTCAGAGAGTTCTTTTTTGTCTTTATTTCTTCATGGGGGCTGGCAGACATGCAGGCAGGCACACAAGCAGGCAGGCAGGCCCCCAGCCCCCCTTTGCTATCCTTTCAGCTATTTTATATGTTTTCTTATGCACGCGCCGGTTACAGCTTTTCTGTTGGCTCTAGTATCTTGTTCACACACCTAAGATAATACACTCATTTGCTACTTTCTTTTGTCCACATGCACCGATTAAGTCACTGACATCCTCTTTTTCTGCTTCTTATTTTCCTTTCTTTCAAGATAGTTCCTCTCAGCTGTTTACATTTTTCTCTCAAGGCAGAGCTGCATCTCGTCAAGGTCAAAGCCGCCCGCAGCCCAGCCAAGATCCGAGTCCACAATATGTAGTTCTGAAAATTGCACTGATTCATGACATGTATTATGTAAAAAATAATTATATTTAAAAATACTTATAGGAAAGATTGGCACCCAGCAAAATCCAAGAGATGCAAAAGTAAAAAGAAATAAAAAGCGTAGTTACTAGGAAGAAAAAAAGACAAATAAAACTGACTGTATACATTAAATAGAATGATTTTTCTCATCTCATTTTCACATTCTTTGGCTTGTCTCACAGCATTAAAATGAACACTTGTCTTTTTTAATTTTACACAGAGTTATAGATGTTTGCATCTGAACCATGTTACGTATTGGAATGCTTGAAGGAATTCTATTTTAATTATGTTGCATATTATTTCTAGCCCGTGTTAACTTGTTCTCTAGCTATCTTATTTTCTCGTAAGTTTGACTTCAGAACATAACATGTCCTCATACAAAGGCACTGAAATCCCACCGCATTCTGTTGAAATCAACAAAAACTTCCAGGTTACTGTCATTTTTTTTCCCAGTGGAGTCAAATAAAGACAGTCATTGGAGTAGCTTTAATTCTCAGTATTTTATCCACATTTCCAACCTGAAGCCTTACTTGAAGTTTCATTAAAAGAAAAAAAAAAAAAAAACAATGGAAGGACTCCACAGAATGGAACTAATATTTATTTAAAAAAAAAAAATTCTGATTTTTTAATCAACTTTATTGGCAGGTTCCATAGTTGCCGATTTCTTAAAATCTAAGTCTAAACATTAATCTTCTGTAACATTCTTTCCCAAAGTAACTGATAGATGAATAAAACATTTCAAATATACCTAGCCTATCTGTCTGGCCTTTGGCCAGAACCGTTGTCTTGTGATTTATTAACCTTATATGCATCAATCTGTAAAACTCTTTTCAAATGATTTCCAAATGAAATCTGCATATAAAACTTGGAGCTAGTATTTCTGAATATTTTTTAAGATCATGACAGCTGAGGACATCAGCAGTATCCACAAGAACACATATACTCTGAAAGACAGGTTCCAATTACAGTTGCTATGCATACGTAACTACAATATTAATCCAAATACTATTTATTTGCAGTTCATTCTGGTTCAGTGCTAGAGTCCAAAGGAAACATTTAAAAACAGAGAAACTTTCTGGACCATATTTTAATTGAAACTTCTAATTTAGAAACATGGTACCTCTGCACTTCATCCGCAGACAGGAGAGAGCAGGACTCTCAGGTCACTGTCCAGCTCAACTAAAATATGGTTATCTTCAGAGTGTGTCCACTTTTCTGCAGTAACTATGAAGATATGGAAGTGACCAGGTGTCTAATGTTCTGTAGAGCTTTTAGCAGCACATAAGAGGTCCAATAATGGGCCAAGTTCTGTTGTGGCCAACATGGTAAAAATCCAAAGCTATTCGCGGTAAGAGTGTTTAAAAAAAAAAAAAAAAGCTGGACAGAACACTGAATAATCATAATATGCTTTAGTAGCTGTTCTCAGTATCCTAGAGCTCACAAAATTTAGGTATTGGAATACCTCTCTTCCTGCTGTATTTATAAAGATGATTCAGAATTGATGCCAATGAATACATATTTGTACTCCATTATCTGTTAGTTCATTTTCTGTTTACAATCATTATTTTTTTTAACAAAGCTTAAAAGCAGTTTATTGTTTTTAATGATGCAATGTCCTTGACTTTTTTTTCCCAAAATCATATCTGAAGATCAGCAGTTTGTGTGTCAACACATCTTGGAAGATCCTGAATTTACTGCACAAAGAAATCTGTCACATCTTTGGAATACTCTTGCTAGATCTTGATATGCTATTCTTCAATTCTTCACTTTCTCTCCTGAAGAGATGTGCATTGTCAAAGTCACCAGGAAACTGCTGGGCTCTGAACAAGATGCTAATGTACCTACAATATTCCTTTTCTTCACACTTTCCTTCTTTTTTCCTTCAATGTCAACACCTTATGTTATGCACAATTTACAGACTCTTGAGGATGATGTATACAATTTTTGCTGTTTGTAAAATGACAAGCACGTATGGGAACTATATGTAACAGTATGATGTAAAGTAACTCATCCAATGTTATATTAGGAGATGTTACACAAGAGTGAAAGGGAGAAATTAACTCACTTAATCATATTCTCCTCAAAATTAAAAACCAAAAAATGTAAATTATAATACATTACCCTCTCCCCAAGGTGGAAGTAAACACTTTAATATGACAATATTTATGAGCTTGCCATAATTGCTAGCTATGGGCAAGAAGAAATGTCACTTTCAAGGGGCAGAAGTAACAACATATTATGACTTCACTATTAAGTTAGATCATATCAGGTAATTCCCAAATCTTTTACGCTCACCTGCTCAGGCAGCTGACCTCCCCGAAAGATCTTCCTGCTTCCCCAACAGCGTGAAGTACAACTGGAGAGCCTGGGCACTGTAGGTAGGAAGGGCTAGGACACACTCATACCTCCCTGTAAAACTTCCAAAGGGACAGCAACCTAGTCAAATAAGCAAACCAAACAAAGTGCAGTCTACTGCACAGCAAGGGGCAGTAACACTCGCTATACTTGGAAGGAGGAGGAAATTGTCACAGTTAAAGCACAAAGGAACTTTGGAATACCTGACAGAGAGCAGAAAAATGAGTTTAAAACCTGTTTGAAGTTTGTCCATAGCAGCTTTTCTCTCCCTTTTATTCTCTTTCATTGTTGATGAATGCTACCACTGAATAGTAGCATTTCTTCTCCTATTTCTCTAGTGAACCAAATTTCTCAAGGAATTTTAGCAGTGTTTGGCTTTATTATTTTTAAATGGCAAAATTCACAAAATTCAAAATCAGAATAGAAAACTATTCTGTGTCGAGGATTAATTAACTATTGATAAACATTTTTACAACTGGAACACTGTGTCGTTGCAGCACCAGATAAGGAAGTTGTGCAAACTGGAACGGCTTGCAACTATCACTGGTTTAATTCTTACAATTTTTATTTATGTTGGTGGAGATCCATAAGGCCTCAATAACTTCAAAAGTATTTCACACAGGCACAGAAGCTTGTACTTCACGATCAAGCCACAAATTCAGCACCATTGTTAGCAATGGGTTATATTTTTAGCACAACCAACCAAATAAAAGTTTTTATTGTCCAACAATAGACCTTAAATAGTCCTGTAAGGCCTTCAGTGTGCAGATAAACTGAAAACAAACCTCCACTGTATTTTCCTACTAAAGGTGTCAAAGGGACTGAATGTAATGCTGTGCTTTAAAAAAGCAAGAGTACAAATCCTTGTATTTTTCAGTACAGTAGCTTATCACTGATAACGAAGAATCCAATCTGAGGATAATCGTGTAGATAATATATTCATAACTGGTAAAACCAAAGTGCAGGAAAGATGAATGGAAGTTTAGCAGAAAGAGTCCTGTGGAACTATAGAAAGTAACAGCATAAATTAAAAGTAGTAGTAGGCAACTGAAAGGGTTGCCTTGGGTTTATGCAACCCAGGGCTCGGGTTTCTACCTGCCCACAACAGTTCCAGCAACAGGTCACTGCCTGCGACGTGCCCCAAGTTTTGGAGCGGGATGATCTGCCACTTACTGGAGTTTAGAGGAAAACAATAACGTCGCTCAGTAAGACAGAGCATGCCTAAAGCACAACATATCAGAAAGCCAGGGGATGCTTTCTGTCCATTTACCTTTCTGTTCTTCTCTTACTGCAACTATTTGAAGGTTGAAAGCATGCATGTAGCCCCAATAAAAGCAAACTAAAAGCCCAAACCCGCCCTCCTGCAGCAAATGCCACAGCCCTGGGGAGGGCTCACCACACGGGAGCCTCCCCACACACCGTGCCGGGACCGCCGCCGAAGAACACGGCCCCCACCTGCGGGCCGTCCTCAGGAGCGAGGGGCAGGCCCAGCCGCCCGAGCGGATCCCCGCCGCCGCTTCCCGCCCCTCACCGCCCTGGGCAGGAACCGCGGCGGCGGCGACTGCAGGCGCAATACTTCACAGTTGATGCCCATCAACGGCCTTTTGGCCGCTGAGGCTCTTGGGAGCTGTAGTTGAAGCGCCGAAGCACCGCCGCACAGCTGGCCGGGGAACACGGGGCTTGGGACTACAACTCCCAGCATGCTCGGCGCCGGGGCGGTGCCCAGCCTGTGGCGCCGGCAGGCTGCTCGATGGCGGCAGGTTTGTAATAGAAGCAGAGGGAGGGCGGCGGGAGCGGGGTGTTGCTGTGGTGGCGGCCCGAGGAGCGATGCCGCCGCTGCTGCCCCCTTGGTACCTGTGAGGGGCCGGGGGAGGGCGGGCCCCCTCTGTGAGAGCGCAGCGGGGAATGTCTGGGTCCGCGGGGGAAAGAAGACGCCGGCCTGGCCTCTCGGTTCGGCTGAGGAGCAGGGCTCTGCTCGTCTCCCCAGCGGCGACCTTTGGGGGGGGTGGGGTGGGTGGTGTCCCCTCCTTCCCTCCTTCCCTCCTTCCCTCCTTCCCTCCTCGGGACGGATCAGCTTCAGCCCTGCCAGCTCTTTCGGTGCTGCCCGTAAACTTTAGTGGAGGCTTTAAACTGGCAGGCTGCCTCGGGAGGGTCTCCAAAAGGTGACAGGAAAAGCAGCCCGTGAGCCCTGTAGACTTGAATTTGCCTGTGTAGGAACCAGTGCCTCCCTGGGAAACTTCCAGTGGCCTTTCAAAACAGAACGCAGTTGAAAAACGTTTTTCTAAGGGAATTTTGGTGTTTGTCCTCATCACAGTTTCAAACTTCAATTGAAAGTATAAGCCCTTTTACAGTGGGAAAATTAAACCAGAGCTGGCATAAACTGATCTCTTGGGAATGAGGAAGCTTTGAGATGTTATTTCCTGATCAGCGGGACTGTTGAGCCTGGGCTGCTCTGGCCTTTGTCCCCTGGCCCCTTCTCCCCGTGATGCACTGTATGCACAGGCAGAGCTAACTGCCCTGGGACCAGTTTGAGGTAGCACAACCGAGTGGCCAGGCTCTTGCTGTCACATCGTCATCGGCAGCAGTTCTGTCTTTTTCTTCCTGAGGAAATCACCTTGGGTCTTCCACCTACCTGAATTCATTCATGTTTTATGACACTTGTAGGAATTTGGTTATCAGTAAAACTTCTGCAGTCTTCGAACTTTTTTTTTGGGTTGGATTTAAAAAACAAAGCTGGTTGGGAGGAAGACGCCAACAGGCAAGATGATTGTGGAATTTCTGTGAAATACTAAGGAAGGCACGAAAATGAAAAGTGCTGCATTGAAATAGTTTATTTAGATGGACATATTTGATACTTTGCATTAATACGAAGGCCCTGTGCGCGAACTCTCTCTTTCAACTCCTCAAATCACTTCTCTTTTGTTGAAGGCACTTAAAAAAAATTCTGAATCCTTTTCCATAGTCCTGAAGATATTATACATAGCTTTATAATATTTGAGTTAAAATTAACTGCATTAAAATAAACAATACAATAAAACATTGGGTTATGTTGATTTCCTGCACAGAAAGTGTTTGTTACTTGTTGTCCAAGCTGTTTCTATTGCCAAGTAGATTGTGACTTATAAATGTACTAGGTTGGTTATAAGAGAGTAACTTTCTTTAACTGGGAATCTATTGTTATAGATTTTTTATTTTATGTGCTTAATTTCTAGGTGCTGAAAGTAGGTAACCACCCATATCAAATACCTGGAACTTTGAAAGTTTTACTGTCCTAACGCAACACAATATTGTTATGTTAATGCTACATCATCAAATAAATTTGAATACCATTTACAAGATGCCAACTGTTGAAGATATGAGTAGTGAACAAAATTTCATTGCACATTGGATGGCCGATAGTTCCCGTGCTGGAGTCTTATTAGATCCTAGTTTCACTGGTTTAAAAATCAACAAAGAAAATTTGTTACCTGGACCTGAAAACATCACGGCTTTCCCTGCCGAAGTGTTGCATCTTTCAGACAGCTGTTCTGTAAGTGATGACTCCTTGTGTGAAGATTCAGGCAGCTCTTGTACACTTAAGCAATGTACCGCCGAAACATCTTTTCCAGCAGCAGCATGTGATGTAGAAGCCTCTAAAACAGACTTTGTCCATGGTGAAGTGGATGGCCAGAATAAATCTGATCACAGCGATCCACTCTTACAAAAGCTTGAACAGGTAAAAGTCCTAGAATTCCTTGACATACCCATTAAGATTTATTTTGTTCCTGCATGTGATTTGTCATACCTAGAAGTAAGCAAACTCTTTTTCCCTTCTCTTAGTCCTTTGTATTAGTACTGTTGGCTGTAACTGAGGTCTTGGAGAGAAGAAAAAAAAAAACAGAATCCCATACTTTTTTTAAAGATTTATTATGAAATATTTAATATTTTAATAAAAACACAGCATAGTAGAAGTTAACGTTAAAAGAGCAGAATTTGAATGTTTTTCTCATGCAGTAGAAATGAGTGTTCTGATTCCTATTGTTTGCAGATTGGTCAATTAAAGACTAGTGGAATTGTTATACTGGGCAAACTGGAAATAGCGTATATATTAGAAAAAATTCTTAATTTCCTTCATCTTATACTTACCAAAGAGAACATCTTTAAGACAAGAAATACCCATTGTCTTGATGACATTAACCCTGTGGTACATTCTAAGTAAACTTAGCCTCTAATAATTTTTTTTTTTTGTTTGAAAAGCTGAAGGAGTTGCAACAACAGAAACAGGAACAGCTAAAGAAACAACAGATGGAGCAACTGCAAAGGCTAATGGAAGAGCAACAGAAGCTACTTAGCATGGTATCTGGCCAGACAGCAGTTCTTGGTAAGTTGAGAAAGCAAGCATATGACGTACTTTGAGTAAACTGAAGAATTTAATCTAATTTTCCAGTTAAAATCTGAAAGCGGATTCAGTGATCTTCATCCGAAGACTACTTGATTAGTCAGAGATAAATGCTGGATTGCTTCAGGGCCTGAAAGTTGAGTGCTACTGCAGAAGGAAAACTATCCTGTTTTTATAGAATGCCAACTATAATTGTAACTTGATCAGTATTTGCTATGATGGGAGCCCTTGATTTGAAGAACATATTTTAAATATAAAAGACAGTGTAAAGCAAACAGTTGCTTTCCTTTCTGATTAGCTGTTACTCACAGTACTTTCAAGTGCTTTAAGCTGTCAGTGTATCCAAGTGAAATGGTCACTCCTTGTTTGTGCTTACACAGCAATGAATTTGTTCAGGTAATGAACTGAACTAGACTAGGGAGTTGATCTGTCTTTAAAAATAAATACTTGTAACCTGTATCAGTTTTCCAGTCTCATTTGCTGTGTGCAAAGGAGGGGACAGTGCTGGGCTGGCAAAAGCTTTTAGAGTTGAGCAGGGGTATTTTCTCCAGTTGGCCCTATCAGTCCAACCTGACTTAAATGATTATCTTTATTTTACTCTGCCTAGCTGAGAAAATGAATTTAGGGCTTAGCCTTAGGTGAACAAAATCCATATTACCTCATCATCCATAAGGATGGAGGCTAGATCATCAGTCTTGCCTTCAGTGCCATTTCTTTTCTTCTGTGGAACAGTGGTGGTGTAATACAAATACAATGTCACAGCCATTTTTTTTTCTTTTAATTTCAAGGCTGTACTCTAAAGGCTGAAAGTCAAAAGTTAAGATCTGGGCATTCAGTGGGCTTAACAACTTTATACCAATTGCCATCACCTTGGTATCAGAATATCTTTGAAGACAGAGCTTATGCACCAATAGTTTCTCCAGATGCACAAGACAGTGATTTTTTACAAAAGTTTAACAACAAAGATTGCACCTCATCTTTGAAGAACAGTGTTTCAGGAGTGCCTGCCTATGAGAAACAAGGTCTGGATGTGCCTCTGAAAATGCAGAATTGTTTGAAAAATGAGGAAGACAAATACATTACTGGTTGGTCATTTGTAGAAAGATAACTTGGTGTGTGGTGGGTTTTTTTCCCCTTGTAGTTACTGAGCATAATTTTCTGCTACTTATTGTGAAGATTTTATACAGGTTTTGTCTTACTTCATTTGTTGGTTGGTTTACTAACAGCTTACAGACCTCTGAGTGTTCCTGTTAATGTCCATGTGAGTTTTGTTAAAAGCAGGAGACAAAAATCAAGTTCTTCTGTCTGCATGAAATGCTTGTCTATTTTAGGAAAAAAAAATAATAATTACTGCTAAAGCTTATTTATGATAAAGACGGGGAAAATAGCACGTATTGACAGATACTGGATAGCTGAATTGTTTGGGCTGATCTGTACCCACATTTTCACGTGGCAAATGGAAAATAACAATCTATCCAGGGATACAGAATGTCTTCAGATCAACTCTATTGTGAGGCTTAGTAACTGAACTGGAATTAGGAATCAAGGTCGCACTATATGACTAAAAATTATTTGTACATCAGAAGCAATGCACTGGAGTTCTTTATCTTTTCTCCTCTTCTCAGTTTTACCATTGGCACCAGCATGACTACTCTGCTGCTATGACTGGAATAGAGGTTTTGGTTTCAATCTAGCAATTGAATGAAGTTAAACCTTACTAACCTGTGGTGGTTTTGGGGAAAAGTTAGGAGATTGCATTTTATCATACTTCATACCAGCTTTAAAGCTTTTAATCAGAGGGCTTGGTTTAAGAGGATGTGAAGGGATAAATTGATCTTAATTTATACATATATACATAGGAAACAGAAGCTTGATAAGATGTCAGTGCAGCAGACATCCAAATTTTTGTTATTTTATCTTTAAGCCATAAATTAACAATAGGAGAAAGAAGATGAACAATCAGAATGGGTTATTTAAGGTCTGTGTAAAATTTTGAATAAATAATTGTAGGTTCCTTTAAAAAGAAAGGTCAAATTCAAGTAAGAATTAATTTGGGGAAATCTTAGGACTATTTTATATAGGAATTCAGACTACATTACTATGAATCTCCCTTCTGTTTTTAATCTGACCTGAATGATGCTTAAAGTATGAGTTGAAAACTGATTTGTTGTTCG